CGCCACTCTCCTTTTCCGTCCGTGTCGGTGCAACGCGTTCCACGAGACGTTCCTGATACGCGTCCTTTCAAAAGTCGACGATTCGCGCGCCGTTCGCGCCGGCCAAACCGTTCGAGCGTGTTGCTCCGATGGCGCATCTCTCGAATCGCGCGGACGGTGGCCGACCGGAAACCGAAACTACTCCCGGCGAAAGAAACGTCTCCCGAGGAATAGAGAGGATCCGCGATAACGTCGATCGGAAAAAAGGGAAAACTCGAATCGGCGGTACTACCTACGCCGAACGGTAGTAGCGGCAGCGGCACCTAGACACGCGGTCCATACGGATCTCTAGGGAGCTCCGTGATTATTCCGGGCGCAAATTTATTTTTATCAGGCTGTACCGGGCCTGTTCTCGCTCGAGAGCCAGCGTTGCCGGATTTGAAGTTTTTCCTCGGTTCCTGCAAAATTGTCCAACCTCGCGATGCTCGCGAGGAGCGAAGCGAACGTTTCGTTCGGCTCGTTAAAAAAAGACGCGACGCAATTTCGGTCGGGAAGGACAACGTCGTCGAAAGGTATTTTCGTTGCGAAACGCGCAGAAACCGCGCGTATCGAGCGGGAAAGACCGATTAGGGAAAATCTTTTGGTTCGATTCGGAAACGGTGTTTCGGGAAGAAGAGGAAAGTCGTCGAAGTCTCTTATCCTTGAACGATCGAAAGGAGGAGAATCGAAAGCGAAGCAACGGTTTGTTCGTTGCTCGCTACGCGTGTACGTCGAAGCATCTCCCGTTACGTAATACCGTTAACGTCTCGAAAATCACTGACAGATCTGAACGCGCCGCTACGAGAGAAAGCGCGAATCTAGGACAGCCGCGGACAGGTTAAAGGACGAATGGACGCGAAGGATCAAGAAGAGTAAAAAAAATTGTCCGCTTCGCGGTTCGGTTCTTCCCTGTCCAACGTCCGAAGAACGCGATCGCTCGTAAATAGTTGCCGTCGCGCCACGAACGCTCCTAAGGGTTTAGCTCGGCCGCGTCGGCGTTTCCGCTCGCGCGATTACCTACGACCCACGGTTTCTTTCGTGTTCGAAGCTGCCGAGCAGTTCTTTTTCCCTTCTCTTCGTCTCTCCTTCGTTTTATCCTTTTTCCACGATCGGCCAAGCGTACGAACAGCTTTCGCTCGCGTCGCGTCCGCGAAGAAGAATACGCGCGCTCG